TAAGTAGTGCTAATAATTTGATTTTTTTTTTTATAGAAAACCTTGAAATTACTATAAGATATATACTAGTGAATATACTAATTAGTGAGACCTATTCTAATTTAATTAAAGATAATTTTGAATCATGAGTAACAAAATATAAGTAGTTATTTGATATTTGTGTATCTTAATTTTCAATTAAGGACTAAAACTTAAATATTGATTTTAGTATGAAATAGCGTTAGAGATATCACTTTATATATCTAAATAAGTGAATTCGATGAGAGAAACGAACATCTCTTGGTATTCTCAAATTAAACGATTAATAAAGCTTTTTTTTAGATTATGTATAAGCAACTAAAGTATAATCTTAATATATATGGAAGTGGTACACCTAAAAAAAACACAAGTCTAAAAAATTTTAGGAGCTCTAATTCAGGTGGTCCCAAGCCAGCCTTTTAATTAGGTGAAAAAACTTTGGAGGAAAGTAAGAGAATAAAAAAATAAAGGAAAATGCCAAAAGTCTAAAGTTCACAGTGGTTGATGGTAGTTGGAAGTTGTAAAGGAGAAAACGAAGCATAGTTTCAAACAAACATAAAGGGATACAATAGAAAAGAAAATGCCTTACGTATAGACAAATTTACAAGGCTAAAACTAACATTTCCACCTCAAAATTGAGGGTACACACAATACCTCCTTTCAATTAATATTTGTAATTGTTCCATGATGTCCTATGGAGATTGTCACAACTATTGTGATGCTTAAGAATCATATCCAACCAAAACATATCACATGACCATTAACTAGTAAATTATAACTTGACCAAAAATTAAAAAGAAAAAAATATATATATAAAAAAATGACTACAAAGCACTTTAAATAAAGATACATTTTTGTCTTCATTTAAATGAAGACCTCAAAACTCAATTATAAACTCGATATATTCACATATGTAGAAGTGTAAATAAATCGAACTATTTGTAAACTATTTGAGCTCAACTCTCTAAATAATTAATCAAGTAACTTAATTATTAAATTAAATAATCAATCTCAAGTGTAAAATTATGTTTAATTGTTTAAATAAGTTAGTCAAAGCTTTCAAAAACATTCTAGCACATATTTCTATTTGTGTTATTATTTAACATAAAAAATATTTTATTAAATACAAAATTTGATAAAGTTAAAAAATAATTTGAAGAAAATTTACATTAAAGCAAAAAATAACTAAGTTATGAATGAATTAAACAAGTTAAACTAAGTCTATTTTTATATAAATAAATCAAATTCAAACTTTCATTTAAATTCATTTAAATAAATAAGTCAAATTTGAACAAGTCATTTTTTATTGAGTCAAGCCTAAATTCACATTATCTAACTCATTTAGACCCTACAGAATATGTTAAGTTGAGAAAAAATAACTGAGTTAAGCTTAAGCCCCAATATTTATAATTGATCATCTTAACTCAGTATTAAATTAATTCAGCCTATCAAAATATTGACAAGTCAACTTTAGGACCACATTTAAGTTTCTTATTAAACACTCATAAGTAAGAGAATCATACTTTGTTCTAGATTTAAGTTAAATGTTTATTATACCGAAATAAAAATAAGGTAACATTACTCTTGACTCTTGAGGGGCCTTAGACCTTATTCAACAATACTTGTTAAATAGATTTTGATATTATCTTATATTTTGGTTATAATCAATGTGAGATATTCAATATAAAGTAATTAATTTAATACTTAAAGTTGTATTCAAATGCCTGAGAGAACAAAAATAAATCTTAAAACTATAACTAATATCAAAATAAAATTAAAGCAAAACACGATGTAAAAAGAAAAAGAAAAAATAGTTACATATCAAACCTTGTGGAGTTACAACACGTTTAAAATTCCATGAGAACTTATGTTATTAGTCTATAGAAAAACACAAATTGGTTCTAGTGGATCTCTCACAACTCGTGCTGTGCAAATAGACCTATAGGTATGATTTAACAACTCAACATTATTAGTTGTTAAATTTGGATCGTCCATTATTTTTTCGTTGAAAATATGCACGGGGTTTTCACTGTTTATCTTATCTTTGAACTAGTCATTGTGTAGTGAACTCCACTAGACATTGTGATCAAGAGAGAAAAACAAAACACCCATATTTTTCTAATGGAATAACGATGTTTGAGATCCAAATCCAATTGTTTGTGTCGTTCTGTCTGAATTCAATTCCAATGAATAACTCATGTCTAGGATTTGCAAAGTCATCCATAAGAAACGGTGAATTATCTGTCTTCTTGTTTAAGTTCAAATTCAATGAATTAATATATAACCAGAGTTGGATTTGTAGACTAATATCTGATGCAAAGAGATGGTGATGAATTGTTGTATTGTCCAAGAAAGTTTGTCCTTTTTTAAACAATTAAAATTCGACATATAGGAAAAAAGAATCTAATGTTTCTTTATATATTCATAAAAACATTTATTATTTTCTATCTTTTTATCTAGTCAAAGTGTGAAACAAAAAATCACTGCATTGTGTACTACACGCGAACCAAGAGGCGCACCTTTTGTTCATGCACACTCATCTCAATTATTCAAAAGGAATAAAATCCCGCATCACATGTAGTTTAATTATTATTTAACACGCACAAGTTATTCTTAACTAAGAGATTTTGATCTTGCACCTACCTAATTATTAATTTTTAAAAGGCACGTGCACATATATAATAGAGAGGAAGGATCATTTTATTTTTTGAGTAGGTTTACCTAGGCTTACTTCGTTTAATAACTCATGTTCTACATTAAATTTTAACGATTCAACCGTTTAATTTAAATAATGCATAAATCAAATATGCAAATTTTTAAAAATTTTGAAAATTATTTAATATTTCATTTCATTAATTCAAATTGATTAATAATTATAAAATCATTTTACATTGATTCAAATTAATGAAACGAAGTATCAAATAATTTTTAAATTTTCTAAAAATATGTAGATTTAATCTATGCATTAAAAATTTTAAATTGAACGATGTAGAATATGAATTATTGAACAAAGTAAGTATAAGACTTACTTTGAAATAAAAGGATCTCTCCTCGTATATATATATATATATTTCCTTCCTAAGAAAGAAAGAAAAAAATGTGAGAAGGAAGATGGGAGAGGAAACAATAAAGATATGAATGGATACCCGTATATGGTGGATATGTGTTAGCACTTAACATAGAGATTCCCTTGTGTTCGGAACATGTTTGTAAAACATGTAACAAAATCGAAATGAATGCACATTGTATCTTCACTTCACTCCACGAATCTTGATCTGACAAATGGGTCCTATAACTAAGGAAGTGGCGGATTCTGCTGCGACGACCGTGGGAAAGTGACCTTTCATCAAACACAAGCGAGACCATGCATTACGATGCGTTGCGCTGTATTCGATTATTATGTTCGTGTTGTGAGTCAAGTGTCCTACTTCAAGGATGTGAGGTTTTGTTTGTTGCCATCTCCTAAGACATGGTGGACCTTCCTCCACCTCCCTATTAGCTGTGCCTAGCCTCCACAACATTCTAGAAACTCATTTTTTTTAATTATATTTTTAGCCACAAAATAATATAAAATATAATTATCATTGTAACATATATACCTTTATTAATTGGGCTGTATAAAATAATATTTTAAATTTGATTCCACTTGCCAAATTCAATTTGTTAGACATAATACCAGATTCCCAGGTCTATCTCTTATCTCCATTCCGATTACACCATTAATTTAATCAATTAGGCATAATGAATCATAATATAGAATTGTTTAGGGTTTTTCATATATGGACAATACATACACGAAACAATTAGAAGTTTTGATGTAAAAGGGGTATTGTTTATCGAGCATGCCCTAAATTTGAGTCTTTTCAATGAAGTAAGCAAAGAGCTTATATAAAGTGCAACTTCACCTTCACACCAAAAAAAAAAAAGTGCAACTTCACATCAAAATAGTATAGCTACAAATTTATCTTTCGCTTTCTTAAATTATTGAATACTAATTTCACTAATATCTCTTTCCATTTCAATTGCATCCCTTTTGGAATTTTCCTAAAGAATCTTATCCCTACCACTCCCGTAAAAGTTAAAATACTTGTCTACCCTTTGTCTGTTGACGATAATTTTAAAATTATTATAATTAAAAAATTGCATAATTTTTATTATTTAATTATAATTTTCTGGACATATTATATCCCGTTAAAGTAAACAAACGTTTTAGGAACGAGACTTGAGTATTATAATTATAATTATTGATAAAAATATTTTTAGCACGTAACGAATGACCACAAAATTAAGTGCCTTGTTCAATTTTAAAACACGTATTTTCCCTGAAGCAAGTAGATAGAGAAAAAATAGAGTATAAGACCCATGTAATGTAAATATTATATTTAAAATTTTTATTCAATTTAATTTTTAAAAAATAACTTCTTTATATTTTATTTTTTCCTTTTACAAAAATAATGAACAGAAATTTCTTGACTTTTTTAATTATAATATTAGTAAAGTGAACCGGTCACCTCAACAAAATCTCAACTTTTTAATTTTTATACATCTTTACTTCAATTTTGTCACATCGGAGAGAAAATGAGAGAGACATATATAAATGCGAAGTAGCCCCTGGCAAAACATCATAGAATTCAGAAAATAAAGTGAACCTTTACACAAATCCTTTAATTATAGAGTTTTATTGCGTGCTTACAACAACATCTCTTGTATAAACTACTCAGACTCTTACTACTAAACTAATCTCAGTGGGTTTTATCAAAAAAATCATTATTACTGAGTTAAATTTTAAAGAATTATTATTAAAAAAATCTTAAAAACTTAAAAGTCTAAACATTTTTTATCCATAAAATATTCCCTATGTCCACTGAATACAGAGTTTATAATTGAAATTGAAATTTATTAAAAATTGTTGAATGTTATTGAGATGAAATGAGTAAAGATGTGAGTGAAAGAGGCACCAACATTTAGGTAGCATGATGACAGAAGTCTTAAAAGCAGAATCCATAGATATTCTTATTGCATCATGAAAATAGCCCATGACAGAGTCACAAGAAGGATAAAAGTAAAACCACCTGGATACACCCATGGTGATTCCCTTCAAACCACAAACAAACACAAACCTTAACAGCAATATTGAAAAACAAAAGTAAACAAACAAACAAACCACGGCAATAACAACAGGGTCTCACACTCACACCACTCTAACCGCCACGTGTGCAAGCCTTTATTTAATACTATTATAGTAACGGCAACACGAGACCGCGTCCTAATAATTTTTATTTATTTATTTATATGGCGAGAACCAAACCGGGAACGGATTTGCCGACCCGACCCGAGACGCTGCTCTCCCAGACGCAGGGGAGGCGGCCGGCGGCGGAGGTGGCCGGAAGAATCTCGTCGGAGTCGTGGATGCGCGTGACGGTGAGGGCAGTGTTGAAGTACTCCCTGACCTGGGTAACTATCCCATCGGCGACGGTCCACGCGTGAACCCAGGCAATGGCGCGTGCGGTGTCGCAGCCCTCGACGATGACGGTGGGGCCGAAGGAGGCGATCCTTAGGGGGAGGAAGCGGAAGGTGTCGTTGGAATCGCCGGTGAGCATGCGCATCAAAAACTGGTGGTGCGGCGGACCATGGAACCACCACTCGAGGTCGGCGGCGAGGATGTTAGCGACGGCGTGGGAGTCGGCGGAGTTTAGGGCGTCATACAGTGCCAGCACCAGCCGCTTACTGCTGGAATCAGCGTCGGAATGAGTTCCCTGAGAGTTAGCCAGTTCGAGATTAATGCTTCCTTGCAAGGAAATTTAAGCGATTCCTTTGTGTTTTCAGTTTAGTTGAGTCTTCCTAGGAGACCGAACACCGCTTTTTATAGGAACATCTCACCCCCAACGTTTCTCATCCCCTGCGCCCGTTACTATTTCCACTTATTTCCATTCTGTCACGTGTCCATTTCCCATTGGCAGTTGAAGGATGAGAGGATCAAGTTCAGAAACAACGCCTATTTTATGTTTGAATTTCTTTTTTTGGTCACGAGGATGGATAATAAAACCAAGCCACGGTCAAGCCTATTTTTTTGACTTGGCACTTATAGCCTAATACCTATTCACTTCTCACTTCACTCCTCTCTTTGCACCACTTTCACCAAAATTAAATATTATTGACATGCAAGTAAAGTTCCACATCGTTCAAACAACATGATACATGAGTTTATATACACATAGTTGTTTCTATTCTTTTGGATGATGTTCAAAAGCAAAATCATGAGGGCTTTGGCCCAAAGCGAACAATATCTCACCAATGTCCACATCGATTTTGACCAAGGAAGGAAGGGGTTTTCAAGTTTCAACATAAAACTTGTGAAGGAGAGTTTTCAAGATTCGTCAGAAAACTTGTGAATGATGATCGATTAATGTGAGACTTTGGATGAAGGGAAGATATGTTGTTGTGCCCAAAGTGTGTGGGTATCCTCCAAAGTCCCACATCGAGTAATTTTGAAGAAGGGCTTGCAATTTTATCCTTATAAAAATTGCATGTGGAGAGAAATAAAATAATGTGTTGAGTGTGTTTGTAGATGTAGGCAAGAAGTGCCGAACCACGTTAATTTTTGAGTTTGTTTCTCTATTTTGTTTCTCTCGTGTGTGTGCTTCCACTGTTGATGGCTTCGTTGTTTGGGTCCAAAACGGACAATATCTCACCAATGTGGAGACATGTGTATATGTATGGAAACCCCCTTATGTATGTCGAAAGTCTTCCTAACGGTGGGTCCATGTGAAAAAGAGGCTTCCTGGTAACATGGAGGGTTAGGAGGCGTGTCCCACTGTCATGAGGAAGATCATGAAGGAGCGGCAATGCAAGCACTCTGAGCGTGAGTGAACTTTGTGGGGCCACCATCGGATAATACTCGTAATTTTCGCTGCAGGGAAGGGTGAGCGTGAGTGAGCTATGTGGGGCCACCATCGGATAATACTCGTAGTTCTCGCTGCAGGGGAGGGGTAAACCGTGGTCCTCTATTTGAGGGGAGGATTGTTGAGATGCAAGCAAAGTCCCACATCGTTCAAATAAGAGATGAGTTTATATACACACAGTTGTCTCTATTAGTAGAGAGGCCTTTTGGGTGATCTCCAAAAACAAATCCGTGAGATCTTGGGTCCAAAGCAGACAATATCTCACCAACATAAAGATATATGTATATGTGTGGTAATTCCCCTAGTTCACAACAAATACATTAATGTTGTTGCTAAAAATCAATTTATGAAAGATTACTCTATGTATGTCGCGCATATTACAAGAATTATCAAAATCAAGTTGATCGTAATTCCTTATTTTCAAGAGATTTAATTATTATTATTTTTTTGTAAATATTAGAGAAAATTTAAGTTTCATATCGACTAAAAATTGATAATTAAATAATATATAATTAAAAAATAACTTTTATTTTAAAAATTAATTTTATAAGATTGAGTTAGACTCGATTCCAGTAAATGATATAAGTAAGCGAAAGCGTGTATGAATAAATGATATAATGGTTGCATTGTTACGTTAACGGCTTTAGCATAACTTCATTCGCTGCCTTAATTAAAAGGTAAGGCAGAGATGTTACGTCACTTGTTTAGTCGTTAAAAAGTTTAGACTTTTCACACGCCAAGCACACAATCTATTTTGGTCTTAATGCTTACCTAATTACATACTTTTCCACCTAATTTTCTAACTTATATTTTTAACTCAAATTTAAATGGAATTTATTCAATCATGTCAATTTTATTATTTATCGACCACCATACCACCTGTAATAATTCATTTGGTTTTTAATTTTTGATACGCCATTTGATTTCTTAGTTTTTTTTCACTAATTTCTTTCAATTAGAAGGTAACTGGTCAAAATATTTGATAAATATGAATTTATGTGTTTAAAAATAAATAAAAGAGCAACTCATATGAATAAAAAAAAATGTAATTGACAAAAGAATAACTAATATTATTTGTTTGCGGGTTAAAAATATCAAAAATGAGTTTCACACGGTCTAAACGAATAAGAGACGCAGAATAATTAGATTTTTTTTAAAAATATTTTGGTAGGAAAGCGCTTCCGTCAGTTGGTTGTATTCTTTTTGGTTGGATTGGATTCAAGTGACGGCACCGACTACGATTCTAACCTACCAACCCTAATAAATTATAACTGTCATAAAAAAATACCTTTTAGTTTCCGTGTATAGTTTTAAGATTTAAATATATTTTAGACTTTTACAAAATGAATAAATTCTGATGTTAATTTTTGTAAAAAATTATTTTTTTTATTTTGTAAAATTTATAATCATTATTTTTAGTTCATATTATTATATAATTACTTTTAATTATTTATTTATTTATTAAAGATTTAATTTATCATTTTAGATGTTACTCGTAGTGATTATTTATAAGTTTTTAAAATAAATATTATTTATTTATTTAAAATTATTTTTAAGAATAAAAATAATATTTTTTATTTTAAAGGGATAAAAATAAAATAAAACTATATATATTTTTAAGTATTAAATGTTAATAAATTTTAGAAAGATGAGAAATAGAAAATAAAAATATAAGAACCAAAATCAATACTTCTACATTTTATAAGCACTAAAAAAAATATGTAAACTTAATTTTAAATAATTATTTAAAAGATATGAAATGTTTGTAAAATAAATTTATAAAAAAAATTAATTATTTTATGACTATATTCTAAATAAGAATAGAATAAAACGGTATTTATGTTCTATAAATGTGGTTATTTTACATGTAGATTCCCTAAATTTTAATTTCATCACATTATTGATAGTTTTCTATAGAATTGATAATTGATTTTTAGTTGTGTAGTTAAAGTTTGAATCAACTTATATTTAATATAGGTTGTTCTCAACACTTTTAATATAGTTATAAAATAGTTTATATAAACAATATTATAAAACGGGTATAAAAGTATTTATATCCACCATAATAATAAGATAAAAAATATATATTATTATACAAAAATTTGTAAAGAAGATTGATAATTAATTTTATAATCATAAAATTAAAATTTTACCCTAACTTATTTTTAATATATGTTGTTTTTACATATTTGAGTGTATGTGTTGCTTGAGATATTACTAAAATTAATTTATGATATGCTTATTAATGGACAATAATAATAATATTTTATTTTTATATAGAGTATCGTCCGGTTGGTGTTAGATTTTACTGAAAAAATATAATTAAAAAAACTATAAAAAAAATAATTGTTACTAAAAAAAAACTTAAGTAATCTCAATCTTTACAAATTACATAATATAAATAAGTTTAATAATGTAAATTTGTTAGCTTAATATATATATATATATATTATATATATATTTGGTACATAGTATTAAAATACTTATTTGGTTGATAGGATACCAACTATAATAACAGAATGAAAAGTTATATTATTATGCATAATTTTTTAAAAAGGATAAATAATTAATTTTGTAGTTACGTAACTAAAGTTGACCGTAACTTATCTTTAATATAAATTATCTTTAAACTTTGTTATATATTTTTAAAATTAGTTTATAATATGTTTATTAAGAATTAATAATGATAATATTTTATTTTTATTTATGACATCTGGTTGATGATACATTTTATTAAAAAATATTAATAAAAACTTAAAAAAATGTTATTAAAAAAAAGCTTTAGTAATTTCAAATTTTACTCGTGACATAATATAAAAATATTTAATAATGTAAATTTGTTAATTTATTCCACGCATACATATATAATAAATAAATAGATCGACAATTCTACTCAACATAATCTCTCTTTTTTTTTTCTTTTTAACTTAGTGGGACTTTATTTTTTTTAGCTACATTATGTTATAGTGATGAAGATCTTCATCTCTCCTAATTATATTTTCTCATAACTATCATATTTTGTAAATCTTTCTGTAACAATTATATTTTTATTTTAGTTAAAAAATATACCAAATAAAATTGATAACATGTATGACTAAAATAGTCCATATTTTAATAGGTGTGAATAATTTAGAAAGGTTAAAATGTGATTTAAGCATGAGTAACATGAAACAACTAACATTTCAAATAACTAAAGAGAGAAACTCTTTCCGCAATATGCCCTTGAAACTATATTGAAGCTATATTCTTATGAATATTTTTTCTTTTCATTTTTTTTCTTGTACGTAACTATTTTATAGTTAAATTACAATTTTTTAATATCTTAATAGCTTTATTTTCTTGCAATTAAATTATTTTTTGGTGAATGTGATTTCAAAATCTTGTTTATTTTGTTTATTTTTAATTTTTAGATAAAAAAAATACACCATATAAAATGGAAAATGAAATAGTACAAAGATAAAAGATAAAAAAAAGTTAAATGCTTTTCTATTTAAACTTAATATCTATTTCATTAATTTTTAAAAAAAATTATCTTTCAAACTTTAAACATGAACTATACATAATATTTTAAAAAAAATTTAAATTTTTTTGTGTATAAATAGTTTTTAGTTTAGTTGTTTTATCTTCTTATAACAAAATTATCTTCTAGTGAAAAGAGTTTATAAATCTCGTAATTATTTTAGTGATTTTTTTTGTAATTGACATATTTAATTTTTTAATTATGAATTTTTAGATAATTTGATAAAGTTAAAAAAATATATATGAGGGTTAAATTTTAGGATTTAAGATTTATGATTTTAGGGATATAGAGTTTTGGAGTTTAAGGTTTAAGATTTAGGCTTTAGAGTTTAATTTAGTAACTTGATTTTCTTAAAATAAAATTATCTTCTAGTAAAAAAAGAATTATAAATCTCATACTTTTTCTAGTAATTATTTTGTAATTGACATA